GGATAAATACCATCGGATGCCTCCAGAATATATAATGCGTCTAATCTTTGTTAAGGTATAAGTGTGTACTTGTAAATATTACGTTAATACTCAGGCGGACATTGATAACATGGCGTTGTCACGAAAAACCTTTGTAAGTAATTAATTCACGAACCCATCACAGTAAACGAGCTCGTCAGGCGTGATTCATGACAGAAAATCACGTCATGATGGGACAGGTAAATCCCTATAATTCAGAGAGGGTCACGAACGGAGTTACAGCCATATAAAGCCGAAGGAGTCTATTAAAAAAGTGAAACGTTTTGTGTTTATTTCTGCATGAAGAGTAAAGAACTTGTGGATACATTGTGTCATTATTTATTCACTTGTCACAAATGTCACTTGTTGCTTAATACATGACATGAAACTTTAGTTTTCAATAAAAGGACGATGAAATCATGTATAAAATTACTACATAACTAAAATTATCTCTCTGTTACTGTCCTAATACTTACATTTTTCATTGATGTAATACAACTAATTAATTATGCCACCGTTTAGTAACAGTTCAATCAGCTGAACTCTGTGGCAGGGGCTGAGAATTTGACTACAAACATTTGTATGCACGAATACGTTCTATTTAGCGATGATCAGATTAGATTTATATCCCGAGCGTTCGTATTCACAAAAATGGTAATATAAGTTCAATCAATCAATTAGTATAATCAACACATCACCCAATGTGTATCAAAGCATCCAGTTATCAACCTTCTGCATCCAATACAAATGCAGAAACCCTTCTGGCCAGCCTGGTATAGTAGGCCAAAATCTCCTTTCTAAGGAGAGGCAAATGTCTAACAGTGGACTAATAAAGGCTGTTGATAATGATTATAATGGACAAATGGACGGACGAACTTGAGAAGATATATAGATATATACCCTGAAATGGACTGGCTACGGATGTAATTTTAGTCCTTAGAAATATTGAACCGACTGTAGGAAAAAAGATAACACCTAATTATTGATGTTACAATACTGTATTGTAATTATGCCACAAATTATGAAGTTTTATTTAAATTAACTCCTTAGAAAGGAGGAGTTAATTTAAATAAAACCAGCAGCCTATGTCCAGCAGTGGACTAGTATAGGCTGTTGATGATGATGATGATGATGATTTAAATTAACTCATACGACTGACATACTAGTATGACGGTTAAGCGTGGTTAAGTATGATATAATTCGAGTGGAAATATCCAGGGGTTGTTTATGCTATCAAAGATAAAGTCAAAGTGTGAGTTTTCATTAATATTGCTGGCACGCGTTTTCTCTTGTTACGACTAATTATCGAGGAACAAAATTTTGAATTATTTACAGCGCTAATTAATATTAATTCATTTGTTGGGTACTTCATTGTTTCACACCACGCATACGTAAAGGACTCTTTTTGAATTGTGTGAAACATGGTATAAATTTTCGAATGTCTTTTTTGTACTTTAGGTGTAATTTTATTTCAGTACAAATTTCAAAATTCATTGAAGTTGTTCATAGCCGGGCCGTAATTCCTGATGCTCATAAACTTTTGCAACAAGGTGTATCAGTCGCATGTCTGGGAAACTCACGTCCTGTGGCCCTTGAAATCCCATACACCGAGTGGAGTGTTGTTTCAGAGTTCCTTTTTTTAGATAGAATTAGATCAGACTAGGTAACGTGAAAATTGAGCTTTTCATTCTCCAGCTGTTTAAACGCGCTTCAGACAATTTTTAAATCATAAAATATTTCATGAATATCTTTTGTTTCTCTGAAATATTGCAACAATACACAATGTTTTGGTAACGGTCACATAAAATATCTGGAGTTTACACAGTTCACCTTTTCATCAAATTAGTCGTTGGAATACAAAAACCAGTTTGTATACGAGATTTTCTCTTTTGATAATTTTATTAGGTCAACGAGTATTATTCAAATGAATCATCTTTGTCAGAACAAAATCGGCGTCAAGTATTTTATTTCGAAATTCTGTTGTACGGAATACAATATTTAAAAGTAAACTGCTGTGATTTGTATTAAAAAGTTGTTCGTATTTAAGATAATGTAACATATTTAGTACTACGTGTGAGTGACGTGCAGGTATTAAACATTGTTATTGAAATATTTTTTTTCCCATCACTAGTTTAGCATGTATCTGACGCTGTTGGAATGTTATATCAAACACATTGTGCATCCCTGAGTACGGGATCTATGTCAAAACCCGGCGAACGTATATTCAGCTCAACAAATTGATCAAGTATCGACACTACGTTAGTAGTCGGTCGCTCAATCACAAGAATAGTGACTATTGATAGAGTATGAGAAAGATCGATTACAGGTATATAGGTATACGATTCAGACCTATTTTAATGATTTTTGTTTATTTTCAGAAGCACCTCGCAGCAGTTGTTGATTATTAATTTGTTGTTTGTTATGTTTTTTACATGTCATATATTCAAATATGCATAACATATACGCTAAGGAATCTAGGCTACGTTACTGGTTGGTGACATGTAAGTAGAATCTAAACCATAGAGACTAGCAAAATACTTCTAAGTTGCTATATTTTTACAAACAGAATAATACTAGTTTTTGCTCCAATCTGACTGTTACCTGTTACAAACATGGGATATTTATTTTTATAATAAATTATTTTGATTCTAACTTTTTTAACTGTTTTGAGTTAAATTGCAAATATTTTGGATGCTTATTTTGAAAATAATGAAATACATAGATATTTAGTTGTAAATGTTTTGAACTTAGTGGCAATAATAATGATTCAAAATGTAAAGGACCTCGGAGTATATTTCTCTATCATACTTCCTATATACCGTATGCTACACTACTAGATACCAAGGCTGCTCAAACTGGGTATGATTGATTGCCTGGCAGCCTCTGACCTATCGCTTACTTATGGGTAACTTTTTTGCACACTGCAGGATCCCTAGTTATTGCATAACTCGCAAGTTTTTTTTAAATATTTTGTACTGGTATACATTGTAATGCCAGTAATGATTGTACTGATCGGAACGTGGAGTTCAAGCTGTGGGAGAGATTCTCGCAAACTTTGATGTACGAAAGAATAAGTTCTGTTTCTCTCTGAGTCTCTCTTACTTAACTTTACTCAAGTGAAACAGGAACCACTCTCGCAATTTATACGTGGGTTAAGTAGACACAGACATCTGAGGATATAAATCTCAAGATAGCCTAGATATGTGACCTTATCAAAAACGTTTAAATATGGAACGTGTGACAATTGGCATGAGTATCGAATGAGGGGAAATCTGCGGTTACAGCTGTTAGTGAGCATACAATAGATTATATTATGACATCAAATAACCTCTTTGCATGTAGCAAAATTTTAATAGGGAAGAAAGTGGCTGATATAGCTAATGAACCATAAACGACTTTCACAACTAACTTTAATACTTTTAGGGCAGGTAGAGTATGTAATAAAATTCAATGGTTTAAAAAGTACAAAAATATATAGGCCCCAAGAATTTCGTTACACTAAGTAATTAGTAAGGACGGATAAATGATTTATTATGACTAGAATAACGTTATTTGTTATTATATTTTGACATTGGTGCTGATTCTGTTGTTCAAAAAATCTCTAAACCACACAAAAAATCACTAAAAATTAGTTAAGTCCTGTCAAATACTATGTTTTCAGGGTAGGAAAAATTGTTTGATAGGACTAAACCATTTTTATGAGATTTTTAGTTTAATTTAGAGAGTTTTCGCAACAAACAAACAAACAGAATAAGCACCATTGTATGACAAGATTATTTAACTATATTTTAAATCATTAAATTCAATTATAATCCTTTGGGGTATAATTTTAGATCTAAACAGTTTAGACGTTTTCGCTAAAATCGTCTTGGTGAGACTGGAACTTTGTTTTGTCAAAGAAAAGCTCTCAAAATGACTACTATTATAAATCAAAAGATAAATTTCTTTGTCAGGCTTTCACGATTTACCTTCTTGAAAGATTATCATCTGCAGATACGTTGAAAAGGGCACAGGGTACCTATCTTCCAGATACTGTTGCTGAGGGATACTGAATAACTTTATCGCGAGCGAAACTGCACGCAAAAGACAGCTAAAAGTGTTCCCATTTTGAATGGAACTAAATAAAAATCATTTAAGTCTATTCAGAGACAAATATTTTCTATGACATTATATTATTAATTTTTTCGTATCTTTTTGTATTTATGTCCATTCCAATGGAAACCTGTCCGTTATCTGTTTATAAGTATCTACATTAACACAGGAGACTTTGACAATAAATAACGTTCATTCATTTTAATGATTTAACTCAAGTTATGCAATTATTTTAATTTAATATTTGTTTAATACTAAGCGAATTTTTGTTGATGGAAATAACTAAATAGCTTAAAATTTGTTTTAAAAGCAGTAGCAGCACGAAAGGTTCAATACCTGTGGTTCAATATGCGATGCTGAATATAATAATAAAGTATCATAATATAGTTAACTTATAGTTAAATAAATGTACCTAGAAATGTAATTTTAGTCCACTGTGGTTGACTTTATTAGTCCGCAGTAGATAAAAATTCTAATTCTCGGGTTATGGACTTACCTACAGTACTGGCAGAGCATAAAATTATTTTATTGTATTAGTGGCTGTGCCTCGCACTTTGATTTTACGGTAAGTAGCAGTACAAGTTACTCAATAACACTACTTCGCTTCTATGGCTATCCTATAGTAGATGTTCTTAGTAAAATGTTTATCAAATACACTGAAAAATAAAAGGTTGAGATTCCTGAGGTTTACATTCTCATATAATACAATTAGTGCATCCCTGTTTTTTTAAGTAACATTTGAAAGAGTTTTATGAATTCAATTCCCAAAGCGCTTGATTAACAGCAATAAGGTTCAAACTTTACCTGACAAAATGTGGTTGTTTAAAATGCCTTCCCCTAAGTAAAGGTAGGTAAAATAGTTGTAAGTTTGCCTTATATGTATTATTTACCAACAACTTCTAAGGGCGCAGATCGTATTTCAGTGTGGAATGTAGGTGCGTCTGCGGAAACTTCACATCGGAATCGACCGGCCATCGCTGGAGTTGCTTGCTGCAGTACCACTCGCCGAGCGCCGGATCTCGATATCTGTTTACAAAAAATAAAGTAATAACATTACAATAATTGGCATTTAAAATCATCATATAACATTTATAAATTCGTTTATACTTTCAATAAAACACCTTTTTCCTATTGTACTACCAAAAACATATATCACGTCACATTTTTGTTGTACCCATGATAAACCTTTTTTTACTCACCTGCAAATTAAATTTGGATTTTATTTTCCGTGTTGTTTTTAGTTTGCGAAAGTTATTTTGTTTTGATAAATTGTCTTACGGCCCTATGAATTAAATTATGATTGCTGTTTATGTTTGAAAATAATTTATACATCTAAAAAAAGGAAGACTAATACTGGCAGTCTTAAAACAGTAATTGTTTATAACTATGGTTTATTTCAAGACGAGATGAATTAGAAAATATAAAAAGAGCAAATATCATCATATAATGTTTTTCCATCAATCAAGTGTGATAAACCTACTCCTATTACAAGCATGTAGCTTTACAGGAAAGTCTAAGTTCACGTTTCTAGTATTCCAATTAAAAAATAACACAATAGAATCAGGAAAATCTGAATCTGAAGGAACACTTCCAACAGCTATAACATAACCGACAGTTGCGTCGCGACTGTCGGAACGATATTTCGACACTGTAAAAGTTTACGCTGTTGTGCCATGTCAATCGTCCCACCGGACTTGATGTTTCTACGCTTTTAGAGTGATAGAAAAATAATACTTCCGACGTTTGCGACAGCGTTTGGTTTTAGCGCGCGACGGTCGTGCTCTAATTGCAACTTTATAATTTTGCCCGTCACGGTACATCACAACACGATACGATACGGAACGATAATGCTCTTTCATAACTTTGCAGTGGGACGCTGAAAATCAATGCTTCACGCCTGTTCGATGTAGTGTCATATTAAAAAGTTCTTCATACAATCCATTTGTTGGTGCATCGTGGCATCGTGACAATCCATTGTAAAATTATAAAGAGCAACTGTAGTGTAGTACCTACTTACATTCTATAACTTGAGCGACTATTAAGTGTTCTTACTAACAATACCAATATAGACTATAAGTACATTCTGTTACCAAACAACCTATGGACTGTACGACATGTCTGAAATAAAAATAAAAATATAAGACTAGCAGAGCTTATTACGGCGTGTTAATTTCATTTTGATTCTTAAATTACTACCATCACGGTTTTTTTTTAGAATTTTCAAACTAACTATAGAGGTAGCAGAAAGTTGAATAAAATGTTAAGGTTTGAGGTAGGCAACTAATAAGATGTTATTGGTTTACTACCTTTACCTAGCTGTCTGATAAATTTTTTTATTTATTTCAGTTAGGAAAATCAACAGATACAAAACTGATAATGGTCAGATTGATATACAACATCAAGCCAATTACAGGTTTTCACGAATTGAAACATTGTAATTTAACGGTTCCGGAGCACTAAACGACACACTACACCTGTACAATAAATGATAATGGATCTATTGTATTGAAATCGCTGCTCGCTCGAACTATATATGACTGTTTTATATAGTTGGATTAAGAAAATGGAATAGAAATGGATGGATTAAATCTAACCGACCTATGGGAGACATTAAATTTTAACTTTGGTAAAATCATTTTCAAAAGTAAAGAACAATCAGCCAATCGACATCGATTTACAAATGGCTTGATATGAAATTTTCTGCACAGACCAATGTAATTGTTTGAGCTGTAAGGAATATTTATAAGAAAACTCAAGAACCTCAGAAAAAGACGTACTTAGCTACGGTTCCAAATTTGCGAAGCATACTTGGTGGTTCCTAACAAAAGTACAGTAGAGAATTTTAAGCGTTTTAGCTTTCATATAGAATTTGGAAATTATCATTACAAACCCTAAAGCCTTTAGGCTTTAGCAATAATTTGCTCAATATGCACATCAAACAGTAGCTACGAATCATGGTAAAGTCCGAGGTCCCACACCCCATTACATCTAGATAATACTTGTCCCTTAACTTCGAATGGTGCTAATATTAGAGAACGTGACGACAGATCACATTTAACGGAGTTAAGTTCCAATTTTATTTGTCATCCAAAGTTTATTTGTCAGTAATGATTAAGTCGCATAAGTCTCATTGAAGGGCCGGTACATCTTTTGCCGATGATATTACAGATTAGATCTTCATTTCATGGGCTAAAAAAAGCAGATTAGAACTTTGGAACCAGGAGTCAATGTCAATGTAAAAAGCAATGGAACCATTAAGGAACCCTGGAGTACATCGCTGGGGATAGAAAACCAGCTCGAAATGTAGTTACTGACAACTACAGCCTGAGTAAGATTTTCAAGATGAGAGGAAAACCACTGAACTTAGTACCCTATGATACTGTTACATAACTGAATTTTTAGCATGCTGTCATCTATTTTATCAAACGCTTTGCTATATTCGGTGTAAATAACATCGACCTGAGCACCATCATCCATACCATGCTTCACGTAATCATTCAGTAGTACCAACTTAGAAACTGTTGAACTTCCTCTCCAAAAAACCGTGTTTTGATGTGATACATTAATAATCTTTTCAAAGACTTTTGTCAGAACACATAATTTGAATATAGGTCTATAATTAACAATTTCAGTTTCTGGCCCTTTCTTGTGCACAGGAGTAATATACGCGGACTTCTAAATACAAGGAACAGTACAAATAGTAAACCATTTCTTAAATACCAGCAATATCGGCAAAGCAATAGTTTCAGCACATTCTATTACAAGTTTAGATGCTAGATGATCCGCGCCGGCTGCCTTCAATGGGTCAAGGCTTCTCAGAATTTTAGTAAGATACTCTAAATTAATTTCAATTAAATTTATATCACAAGATGTGTATGATGTACTTGTGGTACACTTAGGTATTCGTAAATGGCTGAATGTAATCCTGGTAGTACGATAAATGGCGTCATTTAATTAAAGCCTGTTTTTTGATCTCTTGATTATATTCGTACACACATATACGAGTACGACATATATATTATGACTACGATACATAAACATTGGAAACAATCCGAATTTTGTATCATAATCCGAAATTAATATTTAATTTTTTAAATTTACGTTATTTGGCCATGGGTAGGTTTTTCAGTAAAAAAATGGCATTTAAGTATTAACTAATGTTTATGTAACAAGTGCATCTTGAATCCAGTAGTATTTAATAATCCAGTAATAATTCTCAAACAGATGTCTGATATTCTTTTGCGAACCGTTGACGGAAAATCATTGAGCTGTAGTTAATTATCTACGACAGATCAGGGAACACCTAACTTGTAAGAGTTAATAAGACTGATTTAATCGTGAGCCAGTTACAGATATTAGTGGGAGAAAACAAGATAAAATATTAGTTATATTTTATCTGGTTTTCTCCCATTCTTAAATACTTTTAATGAACTCTAAAGTCTTAGTGGTGCTAACGATAATTGTCTTGCCTCTAATTACTGAATTTGATTGTCTTGGTTGTAAATATGGAGCTGCAGAGAGTAGCAACTAGCACGTAATTATAACTCACAGTGTCATTTATTTTAAGGTATAATTGTTATTTCTAAATATGACAAATCTCTGAAATTGTAAGGTTTAAAATGTAACACAAGAATAGATAAATCTATTCTATATAATAATAAGCTCTAACAGCATAACAATGAACATGAATTTTCTATGAAATACCTGAATACAACTTTGTGCACGACCCTAAATCGGTAACAGTAATATCTTCTGAGGATATATTGAAATAGGACCTCTAAAGACTACGAGCGTGTTAGCGCGTCGGTCAGCAAATTAGCCTCAAGGGTCCCATCGCTACGGGATGAATATGTCGATTTAGTAGCAAATCGATATAAGAGTAACAAAATCCTAAAATCCGTAAAGTAGAAAGTATGAATAAATCGTGCAGGATGTAAGAGGAACATAAACGTGCTATCTAGATAGTTTTACACTGTTATGAGTCTATTGCAACGCGGACAGCAAAGGTTACGATAAAAGTCCAAAGAAGCATTCGAGGGTTGCTGATCTTTTGAAACCCAAATACCAAAACGCAACTAAAATGTTTACTATGTAGTCATCACTCAATATTCGAAACGTTTCCAAAGCTACTAACAACGGTGATGACATACATCTCTAAGCTCTTCATTGTAACCACATCTTAATTGGAAATATTAGAAGCAGAGATGGAAAAGTTGCTTTCCAATAGTGCTTGGAAGTTATATTCTTTGTCGTGCTACGATAATGTATGTCTTAGCACCGTTACGAAAGTATAAGAATGAAATCGACTATCCTATTTTGTGCCCGTTTTTTGTGGAAACCCCCTCGGGCCGTCACCCTACCGGGGTTGGCGGCGGGGCGGTGTGTGGGAATCGAACCGACTAAAACCACACTGTGCCACTTCGCGCCTGAGATAGGAGGGGTCCGGGAACAGCTGATATTAAGACAGCCGAACCCCTCCAAGCGCCTGGCCGCAACAGCGCGGGCACCACTTAGTGTAAACTCTCGATTTCTCGCGTCTGGCCACTATGGGGGATGGACCAGAAAACCCGTCCCGTCTACCCGCAGCTACACTCGCTGGTAGTGGCTGGCGCTGGTAAGCGCGCCTACGCCGGTCGGTTCGCCGGCGGCAAATAAGGTCCGAGTGGAGGTCATCCTCACATGCCCTCTCCGCCGCCTCCTTCTGCGAGATGACGTTTTCGCAAAAAAATGCGACCGTGGTAAAACATCTGTCTCTATCGGCCATGGAGCGTATGACGGCCGGTAGCGAGAGATCCCCTCTAATCCCCTGCGACGCGCAGGCTGGGCAAATCGCCAGGGTGTGCTGAGCCGAGTCCTCACTGCAATCGCAGTGGTGACAGGCGGGACTCAATTCCCTCCTAGCGACCGAGTGCAGGTACTTCCCGAAGCAGCCATGCTTGGAACGACCGCTCGACGATGACCGGCTGGAGCGCCTCTGCGACGGCAAAGCCAGCACGTCAAGCCCCTAACCGGGATTACCAAAGAGCCATCGTGGCTCGGCGGGCGGTCCCACGCCACTACCGGGCGGTACCTCTTTGGGCGGGGGTCGATTGCCGTTATCCGCTCGGAACTCAGTCGTCCGCCGATATACTTCGGTGAGCTCTTCCGTCTCCAAATCCAGCGGGGGAGTTCCGGCCAACGCGCACGCCACCCCCGTCCACACGGTGCGGTAACCGCGTATGGCTCTAACCGCCAATATCCTCTGGGGGCACCAGAGGCGTGCTCTATTCTGGGCGGTCAGAGACGCTGCCTACACTGGTGCACTGTACAGCGCTATTGACCGAACAACCCCCGTGTACAGCCGTCTTGTCAAGACGCTGGCTCCACCCAAATTGGGCAAAAGTCGCCTCAGGGCAGAAGCAACGCCGACCAGCTTTTGAACAAGCTGTCGGAAGTGCTTGTCGAAGAGCCACCTCCCGTCGAGGATCAAGCCCAGATGAAGTATGGGTACGAATACCGAGTTGCAAATGATAGAGGTATCAGGGGGAGGACGACGACGGGGCCCATGAAATAAGACGACCTCTCCAGGTGGCCAGGCGCGCCGCCTCTTGAAAGTTCGCCCCTAGGATCCTATTTTGTGACCTTAATGTGACCTGCAAGTGGTGCATAAATAAATTGCCATACCCTAGTTATCTCTCCTTTCCAGTGTGCTATCTTTAAAACCAGGTTCGATGTAACTACTACATACTAATTAGAATGGAGACAGTGAAAAGTAGAACAAGAAAATTTGCGTAAAAGAAAGGTAGGACGCCCTAAGCCAGATGTACTGATAACCTGAGGAAGGCTGAATTTGAAAGGCGAAGTACCTCTGCCTTTCAAATTCAGCCTTCCTCAGGTTATCAGGTGTCTTACAGTAGATTGCAATATACTGATTATTCGATGATAAATTAAAAATTAAATTATCGTAGCACTAGGTTACGAGTACAAGCCTAATAACTTCTAATTTATTAGTGTTGCCGAATGCCGAATGTGAAGTTTAGAAATAATAATAAGAAATATAATATTCTTAAATTTGATCTTAATTCCTAAATTGTATTGTTAGTTTTAAGCATAGTTTACTACAAATACTTTTTAGAAGAAAACAGTAGTTTGCATAAATTATAAACAAGGCATAAGAAATAGTAATCATTAAAACCACATCAATGCATAACTATTTCCAGTAAAATACAGTTGTAATAATTAACAGAGTTCTTCGTGTCACTGAAGTGACTATTTGGGCGCGCCTAATTACAGTTGTCATAAACTTTCCTAATACCGATCTCTTAAATGTTTCAATGAAATAGGAACGTTCAAAGTTTACCCGAAAGTTAAATACCCCAAATAATATCATTTGGAACTATTTTATAGTGCAGCAAATTATACGTAGTGGTGTAAAGCTTTTAAGCTTTCGCGTTCTATGACATTTAATAATTATACATACATACGTACGCGAATTAATCCTTAACCGAGACCGTTGCAAACTGATCGAAACACCAGGATTACAAGGATATATAATGTTAATTCATAATGATATACGATCAATATTCCTTGAAATTGGAAAGTATCAAACGTATGGAACGATTTAGAGCCTAATTAAAATGATTACATATACACTTGCAAGTGATACTAGCATTGAATTGGTGCTGGGAACTACAGCACACTTCCAGAAATTAAGTTAAATGTGACGGAACAACAGACAAGAGGCAGTAACCGACAGTGTCAAACGATCCTACAAAGCAATTACTTGCAAGATACCTAGGAGTGATACCCGGGTAACTCCAGCCAGTCAAATTGAGGTAGTCAATATTAGATTTTGGTTTATCTAGAAGATTTGATTTAATTTAAGGGCGCATGGATGTTTTCTACTTATGCAGTGTACGTGTTCAATATAAAGTATGTTAATATTCAAAAAGTGTTAACACTTACGTATAAGTAACAACATCTATATGTTGACTATTAAAATATAAGAACTTAAAGTAACAAAAGTCAAAGAACACACTAAATATATAATGTATTTTTATTCAATATATTTGAACCGTGGGGCAGTTATGCTTTGCACCGCGAAACACTGGTGTGAAGTAATTCTTTCGGCTATTTCACCGAGTGAGTGAGTGTAAATTCTTCATACATTCTGAGTACTCAAAGTTCGGCCCCGCACTTATGAGAACCTCTGGTTCCTGGGCGGCGGTAGACACATGCCATCAGGTGTTAGACGTTCGGTTCTCGGCACTTATTATTATCTAATCACTAACAATTCAATATTGGACGATTGTAGGATTTTTTAGTTAATTTTGATTTTCACAAATAAGTATAATAAGTTATAACATGCTGTATATATGTATGTACATGTATAAGAGACCGCTAGGAATCATGAACATCTTAACCACGAGAAAAGTTAGACTTAGACTACGAATATACCTCACATCACTATCATCAGTCTCATGCTGCAACAGGAGCCCTAGTGGTCTCTTTCAAAGCCCACGGATGGAAAGAAATAAAACTTATAATGTGGCACCTTTAACAAAATTATTATATAAGCGAGGCACTGATGTATTAATTGAAGTTTAATATTAATTCCTTTTGTTTCTAAGAAATGTAAAAAATCTCTTTAATACTTTATAGAAATCTATAGCATCATATATTCGATATAGTCTCTGATTTTTTTATTTAATTCCAACAGCTATAAGAACGCGCCCGCCCATCAAAGTTACGGCAAATGACGCGAGTCTCAATATACGTTTCTCTAACAATATCGTTTGTTGTTCTGTTTTATGTCCCATTTCGTCGTACCGCAGTGATTACGTCAATAATCTTCCGTTTTAATAGTAGGTACCTACAACTTCTATAGTTTCCGATATCGAGCCGATGTGATCGGTTATTGTTAGGTTGTTTTAAGTTTGGATTTCACAGATGCTACTGTAACAACATACTAAAATTACAATGGCATAGCATCTTTAATATGAACACTACAATATCAAGAAGGGCAAGGCTTTAAATTTGCCTAAATATTAATTCATTTGGATTTATGGGTACTTTAACTTTAAAACTTCTGGGAGTACTTTCGCTGCGATATTTTTACTTATGTAAATAATAATATTCTAAAAATTTGGGTAAGTTTATATTTTTCCATGTGGCACTGTTGAGAATCTAAAATGTTACAGCGCATTTGGTTACTGCCATATTTTATTTAATAAAAAAGGGCTTGATAAGAACATTTTTTTAATAAGTTTCTCGTAAGAAAAGTTCTTATTGGTGAAATGATATATTATCAGTCTTTAATCAGATAAGCTAGTGACTCTCTTTGATTCAAAAATATCATAAGTCATCACCAAATAATAGAAAACAACTGTTTATGGAACATATTTCACCATCAAAATTCAGACATCATCCGACTGCGAGAGAGTAGGTTTAAAGAATAAGTTTAACTCATTTCTATAGTACCTGTTGATAGAGTTCTGGAAACCCTTACAAACTTAAAGTAATTTCTCAGAACACTACAAAACGAAGATTAATACGTGTTTGATAAAGCGTGTCTACTGAAATCTGAAAATATAAAAGGGCAACCCGCAAGAATTCACATAAAAGTCGACCTGAATCACTAAATATAATAAAATGTATACCTTGACTTAAAATACTTAAATACACCGAAACTTTCCGATTTAATTTATAAAAAAAACATTTTCTTTTTGTAAAGAAAATACCTGTAGTTACGATAGTAAAAAGTTGGAATACAAATTTATTTTTGAATTCTTTAATTCAAAGAATTACTTAAATACCTTTCACTGATTATTATTTATCGTTATATTCGAGCGTCAAAAATAATTAAATGTCCTTAACCTTCAACTTCCGTTCCAATGAATATGGACACAGTTGTGTTATGAATATATTATGAGCATACAACCATAAAAGTCATATAAATTTTAAACTGGTTTGAAAATACTTCACAGTATTGATTTATACATTAACAGGGTTGTAATAGAACAATGTATGTCGCAGGAAATGTGTTCAGAATTAACAGTAAAATACGAATAAACAAGACAAAATAGACACATTTAACATAAGCGTAAATGAAGTAAACTACCCTAACTTTAAAACCCTTTTAACGATGAGAAGAAAGATCTTTAGACGGCTGATTTAACAGAGCCGTCAATAGTCTCTTCTTCGTCAATAATCTTTTCAACAAACAAATTACATCAAAATATCCATCCGTTAAGGAGAAACATAGGTAGACAAGGCTAGACAAACAGAAAATTAGATAGACGAACATCTGATATCTACGCAATATGTTTTATATATTACACAAGGGGTGATACCTTTTGCATCTGGGGTTAAAATATATTTACTTACATCAACTTCGATACCAGGTAGTGGAAATACTCTTGTGTGCGGCAGTTCTTTCGGTATATATCTATAGAACTCTTCCCGTCCCCGGTACCATTTCACGCTGTAAAGTGCTTCTTCATCTTCCAGCTGCCAACTACATTCCAAGGTTACTGTTTCCCCAACTAATACGGCGTTGGGGACATTTATTTCCAGGTTGTGAAGTCCACGAACTCCTGTGGACAAAATTATGACTTGTTGATTATTTGGCGTAACATATGGTCGATGCCTATCACTCATACAGAAGGTGAATGGATGCGAGATGTCGAACGATCATGTGAATCAATCAATACAATGAAGCCACTATCAATTTCAGATATTGATATAGCTTATGAAGTTCGTTCGTTACCGAATTGGAAGTCAGCGGGAGCGGACGGACTGCATAACTTTTGGTTAAAGTGGCTCCGTAGCTCACATGTAATCATGCCTAGAATCAGGTTTACTTTCATCTTTTATGACATCTTTTAGTGCCACGGATCCCAAAAATTGTAGGTCAACACACATTATATACATTACTAACGTCCATTCTGAAAGTGAAGATAACATATCATATTACGAACACCTATTATGTCGCACTCTCAGAATGGATGTAGAGGTAGGGGACGTGGTACTAAAGAGCTTCTTATTAATGACACGACTATTAACCAACAAGTTCTCGTAACCGAAAAGATCTGGCGACATGTTGGATGCATTATAAAAAGGCCGCATACGTGGCTCTTCGGTGTGATGGAGTTGTACAAGATTGATACAACTCTATGCACTTTTATGGAGACATGTATGCGGCAATGGAGAACGGTTTTTTGCTATCCAGGATGTCGGCAATCTCAAGGCGATAGCGAAGATATAATGATTAAGCGGGGTATATTTCAGGGTGACAGTTTAAGTCCCTTGGGGTTTTGCTTGGCTTTGAATCTTCTCAGCACTATGTTAGAAGGCTCGTACCAAGTTGGCTAGGCTATCGTTTACAGAGAAGTAGTAAGATTATATCCCACCTCCTTTACATGGATGATTCAAAACTGTTTGCTTCCAGTAATTCCATAATGATAAATTTACTAGAAATAACTAAAACCTTTAGTGAATGTATCAGGATGGAGTTTGGTGTAGATAAGTGTGCAATCATGCATGTAAAAATAGGCAGGGTTATGGAATCTAATAGGTTTGAACTCTCAGATTTCACTCACTTTAGGTGTCTCTCAGCTAAAAAAACTTACAAATATCTGGGTATGTCACATGCGTTAGGTGTAAATGAGTTGACTATGAAACAATCGTTACAGGAACGCTTCTTTAGCCGCCTGAAGAAAGTATTAAATGGTCTTTTGTCAGGTGGTAATAAGGTAAGGGCCTATAATAATTAGGTCATTCCAGTTCTAACCTACTCTTTTGGCATACTTAGATGGACTCAGACTGAACTAGATACCCTGGATAGAAGAGTCCGTACATTGCTTACTGCATACCGAATGCATCATAAACGTTCACCGGTGATGAGGTTATATATTTTACGAAAATGTAAATGTAAAGGACCACCCTCGAGTCTAAATGCGGAAATCGGAGCCAACAACCAATACCAATCCACGAAAATGTGGTGGTCGTGGTTTTTTAAATGCAAGGACCCTCCACAATCGTGAAATATGTAATCTCAGGAATTACTTCCTTTTTGTTAATGTGGATATGCATAGGGATGTAATAGCAGTTAATAACGGACTCCGCTTGGTCTAGGTAAAGAGAACTGGCGCAAATTTGCAGTACTCAACATTACTGATCGTATGATATGGAAGGGAAAAGAGCTGCATGAACGTTTTTATCGAGCCTTGAATAGGCCTAAAGTAGACCAACTGGCGTCTGTATTCTGGGTACGATTTAGTGATCGCTTCGGAGAAACAGAAGGTTTTATCTTTGCAATTACTGATGAAATTGCTATGACGAATAATTATCGGCAGTATATCCTGAAGGACGGCACAATAAACATTTGTCGGGCATGTCATTGTCCCGCTGAAAGCCTCAGACATATAATTTCCGATGTTTCTCGTCTTGCCGACGGCGAGTACTTGCATAGACATAACCATGTGGCTAGGATAGTCCATCAGCAACTTGCTCTTAAGTATAATCTTGAGACTGTAGAGTTACGGTACTACAAATATGTGCCCGACCCAGTTCTTGAAAATGGACATTCAACGTTATACTGATATAGTAGTAATAGACTGATTAGAGTGCCAAGCAATGATTGTTGACATTACCATTCCACATGACGATAATCTCTTGAAAGCTGAAAAAGATAACAAGGAAAGTATTTGGACTGCGGTGATATTTATTTATTTATTTATTTATTGAGGCACACAAAACAGAACATAACACAAAGCTTAGTCTTATAGATAGCTAACACAAACAGTTTCGATCTTAGCTATGCTCCTAAATATGTGTACACTAAGTTTTAATTATCTTTAATAAGGTCATAATAAGATCAAATTTCAAAGACTTGACTTGACTTGAAAGACACTCTCATAAAAATAATGTGCCACCAAAACAAATTGGAATATCATTAAGCTGAAACAAACAGGTGTAATTATAAAAAAGTTATTTCTAAAAACATTATCAGTTAGTACAGTGTAGTAAATTTTCATTCGCCTAACTATGTTCTTTTTTGGTGGTAACTTTTTTCATATACTTACATAATACCTAAACTATTATTTCCCTGAAAACTCACTAGCTAAGCCGTAGATAAAACAACTTCTGCGAGATGCTGAAAATAAATTAAGTCGTCAATCATGCCGTCTAGTAGCTTATCTAAGATAGGCGTTAAGTTTCGCTCGTCTAAAGCAGAAGACTAATGCCATGAACAAATAATACCCAGAATCAGGCATTTCACGTACTTAAGGGCCTGCAATGTTTTCCTGGCTATTGCATACTCCTGTAAATTATATTCGTGGTATATTGAATAATTTTATTTTTATTTTATTTTATTTATTAGGACAACCAACAAGAACATACACCTTAAAAGCAAGAGATACAATGGCAGTGATATACAAGCAACCAACCCTGGCTCGCGGTTTTTTAACGAATTTATGTCAGTTTGCAGTGAGCATACATGGTTTTGCGCCGACTATGAGCTTTTGCCGAAGGATACACATACGTTTGTTTGTCAGGCTAGCGGCTCACACCGTTGGCTAGATCATTGTTTGATAACAAGCGCAGCTAAAAATTTGATTAAAAGGGCATCAGTCTCACGTGGAGTTTACCAGACTGATCACTAAACTATTCTATTTGAAATTAACCAGAAGTTATCAATCCAAAATCCTGATAGTAGCAAAGTACATTGGGGTGAAAGAAATAATGAACAAATTAATGATTATTATGAGTATTGTAATGACAAATTAAAATTAATAGATTTGCCCGAACAATGTATTACTTGTTCTCACAAAATGTGTAATAATTCACACCATTTATTATTAATAAACAGTCTGAATTTGGAAAAAGTATCAACTCTTTAAGAGGGTGCCCAATATACATATGTCGGTAGTGAGCTCATCAAGCGACGGAAACATGTCACAGGCTGGAACAAATATGTCAGCGATGCTCACGGGTGGGTCGTACGTATTAACAAACGTGGCTATCCCTTGGTGCTCCCACACAGGGACCTACTCGTATATATGAGAAAATGCGTGAACCACGGAGAACTTTTAAGACTAAATGAAAATTTGTTCAAAATAATCAAGAACAAATTAAATTAGATATATTGGCTAATAGTCATTCAAAAAAAGAGTTTGCTAAGTTTTGAAAATCAACCAATAAACGGTGAGTGTGGCGGGTTTGAGCGAGCCGAAAGAGATCACCAATCTTTTCCAAAGACACTTTAGAGTCCAGTCTTTGTTGCAATCTGGGCGGCAGGTGTTCGAGGAATGTTTTCAGCTAAACAGGTTGCCACTGTTATTAAAAATATGACAAGAGGTAAGTCACCAGGCCACGATGGCCTCAGCGTCGAGCACCTAAAGCACGCTGGGACATATCTGTGTAGGGTTCTTGCTTTGCTTTTTAATTTATGTCTCAGCCACCGTTATCTGCCGGAGGGTCTCATGCGCACTGTGGTAGTACCAGTCATTAAGGACAGGACGAGGGATGTCTCTGACGTGTTCAATTATAGGCCTATTTCGTTGGCCACCATAATCGCCAAGGTCTTGGACAGTTTGCTTGATCAGCAGTTGACTAAACATATTGAACTCCATGAGTCGCACTTTGACTTCAAACCTGGTCTATCTACTGAGAGTGCCATTCTGTGCCTAAAGCAAACTGTTCAATGTTATACCTACAGAAAGACATCTGGTTTTGCCTGTTTTTTGTACCTTTCAAGGGCGTTCGACCTGGTGTCCTACGAGGTGCTATGGGCTAGATTGCGGAGGGATACGACACTACCGAATGAAATTACGTCCTTGTTTCGTTACTGGTACTACAACCAGACAAATAGTGTAAGATGGGCGGCAGCTCAATCAGATGTGTATGGGTGCGGGGTGAGACAGGGGGGTTGAGTTTGCCCCGTCTCTTTAACTTATACATTAACCGGCTTATCAGTGACCTCAGCAGCACCAGAGTTGGGTGTCATATTGATGGCGTCTGTATAAATAACATTAGCTATGCCGATGATATGGTGCTGCTGAGCCCATCGATCAGCGCTTTGAGGAAACTTGTGGCGATATGCGAGTCTTATGCAGCGGCCCATGGGATCAAGTACAATGTCAAGAAGAGCAAACTTATCATGTTTAAAGCGCGGGCTATAACATATCCAAATATCCCTGGTGTCACAATCTGTGGCACCCCTTTAACGTGGGTGACTAGATTTAAGTACTTGGGTCATTGGGTCACTGATGATCTTAAGGATAATGTAGATATAGAGAGGGAGCGCAGGTCGCTGGCTGTTCGATGTAACATGCTGGTTCGAAAATTTGCACGCTGTACAAATCAAGTAACGGTTACGCTTTTTAAAGCATTCTGCCAGTCCTTTTACACGTGCAGTCTTTGGACCAGTTTTACGTAAAGGACATACAGGTTCGGGATGCTGTTGTGGCGTTGTATTGCTTCTGGTATGTTTGCGGAGGCGCACACAGACGACTTTTACGCAATTTTAAGAAAGAGGACCGCATCAATGGCCGACCGGTTGCGCACCGCTACTAACAGTGTCCTAAGGGGG